CTTGTCAGCCTGCTAAGACCCAGTATCCACAGACACTCTCCTTTCCTTTGAAATCTCACACGGTTTCATGATCGGCCCCTTCACCTCCTCACCTTTTTCCTCCTGGCGCACTAATACCATTGGTATAGCTGTGCACAAATATTCTAATAATAAACGACAGATTATCGATTTATCAGCACCGCATGCCTCTTTTGTTCCCAGCATTAACTCACTCATACCTGCAGAGGAATTTTCATTACAGTACATTAAAATTGATGATGCAATAAAATCCATAATTTCAACTGGTAGAAACACTTGGCTAAGCAAAATGGACATAAAAAACGCACTCAAATTACTACCCATGAACCCATCACTCTGGCATCTGCACGGTGTTAAATGGCGAGACAGATACTATTTTTCTCATGACTCATTTTCGGGTCTAGAAGCAGCCCCAAACTGTTTGATATATTTGCAGAAACGCTATGCTGGCTGCTTCTAAACGTTCTCAGGTGTCACTCAGTCATTCACTATTTGGACGACTTCCTAATGATAGAACCAGGCGCACGTACACCCACTAATATCCTCAGCACTTTTTTCCACACTCGGGGTACCCTTATCACCCTCCAAAACCATTGGCCTCACTAATAAACCAACCTTCTTGGGGCTCGAGCTGGACTTTGGTACCTTCCGAGCCAGCCTTCCCCCTGACAAATTGGTCTGCTTGAGAGGAGAGATAGACATGTTCCTGCAGAGTGATGCATGCACCAGAAGGGAACTTCAGTCCCTATTAGGGTCCATAAATTTTGCGATGCGCATCATTCCGCAGGGTAGGTCATTCGTATCCAGGCTTCTCTGTCTGCTTCACGGGGTACCGGTCTCCTGCCCAATTTCATTGGATCAGCATGCCAAGGCTGACCTACTCATGTGGGGGATGTTTTTGGGTGAGTGGAACAGTATCTCCATGTTTATTCCCCATCTCTCGAACTCCTCACCTATCATTCACACAGACGCTGCAGCCAACATGGGCTTCGCAGCTGTCAATGGTTCAGGGGTCACTGGCCTGCTGAGATGGATGCCTTGCCAGGATTCAGGGAGACTTCAGCCCTATTTGTGGCAGCAGCACACACCTGGGGTCATCTCTGGTCAGGCAAGGCAGTAAAATGCTATTCCGACAACTTGGCAACTTGCGATATCATAAACAAGGGGCGCTCATCCTCCCTTACCATCATGCGGCTGATTCGCAAGCTGACCTGGCTGGCAGCAACCGTCCAGTTCCACTTAGTCTGTTTTCACATCCCGGGCCGCTGATGCTCTGTCTGGCTCTCAATTCCAGGTATTCTTGCCCTACGGCCCACCGTCAGCCATCCAAGACACCGTGGTTTCACAAACTAATTGAAATGGATTGAACGCACTAATGCACCACGCTAGGACTCTCACACACCAAGCACTATCATCTAACACAGCTGTCACCTACAATAGGGCACTTACCATTTTTAATACATTCACAGCAGATTTCGGATTACGAGATGATTTTTCTACTCAAACTATGGTGGTTTTGCCTCCTCCTGCCACTTACATTTAAAACTTTCTCACAATACCATTAAACTATACCTCACGGGGTTCAGCACCAGTCGCACTAATTTCCCTAACAACATCCCCTTCTTGTCATCATACCCCATCAAGAAAGTCTTAAAGGGTATCTCAAAGGTTTCTGTTCCACTTACCACCACCAGACTACCAATAGACAGGCCTATTTTAAGATTACTCAGCAATCTACTCGATGAATCCCCATTCGATCCCAACACAAACCTGGTGATCGAGTCTGCTATTAATCTAGCTTTTTACGGTTTCCTCAGACCCAGAGAATTCACTGTTGTTTGTCAAGGGGATATCACACACAGTCTCAAAACCTCACACCTCACTAAGGTGGAGGATCACTATGTACTTACATTCCCATCTACCAAAACTAATCACTCACTACACCACACTATTATTCCCCTCTTTCTCACTGATAATGCTTGGTGTCCGGTTAAGGCACTAGACCACCTGCGGTCAACTCATCACACCAGACTCTTCGCTCTTACTACTACAAGGGCACCCACTCACCACTGTTATATTCACGAAGCATGTCAGAACCTTACTGGCAAAACTGGGTTACAACACGTTCTCTGGTCACTCCTTCCGCATAGAAGCCACTTCATCAGCCTCTAGTACAAACAACCCAGTCCACATCATCAAGAGACTGGGTCGATGGAAATCCTCCATATACCATACGTACATACCAGGACCAGAAAGAAAGCTTCGCCAAGCCTTCAGGAATTTGGTTATGTAATAAATGCAATAAAGTGTGTTTTTCATTGAACTCCTCTTTTGCCCTCTTATTTACAGGCCTACTCGCACGTTGGTTTCGGCACACCACAACCAACTTTCATCTCAGACACTATCCATTACGTATTAAATTCCAAGCACAAGTAGAAAGACCATTAGGCCTGAATTTGTGGAAGGAGTAAGTCACCTACTTAAACTCCCAGCCCCTACTCACCTCAGCCGTTCAAGTTGATTGACCCCACCCACCTTCACGTTTATAGCATTACAATTCTCCTTGGTGGGCCCTCTTTTATTTACAGGCCCACTTGTACGTGGGCTCCGGCACACCACAACCAACTTTAATCTCAGACACTATCCATTACGTATTAAATTCCGAGCACAAATATATATACTTGGTTATACTAACCAATTATATTAGTTGGTATATATTTTTGTGGTGATTACTCCACTTTGTGAGGCCTTTGGAATTTGGATTAAAGCGACACTCCAGACCGCTAAAGCACTTTACTTTGCCGAAGAACTTTATCTGTAAAGAGATTTCAGTAGAAATTGGCATTTTTATAAATTAACCTTGTTACACCCTACTGACTGTCAGTTTAACCCCAATAGCATTTACAATACTTGTCTGCTAGTCCACCCATTGTACAGCACTGTGGAAATTGTTAGCGCTTTAATAAATAATAATAATAATAATAATAATAATATTGCACTAGGACCTGAAACCCGTTATTATAAATATTCGCCATGTTTACCATATGCCAATAACTTTAAAATGGAACCCATTTCCCAGTTATTGTTTTAGCATGGCCCTATCAATAAGCTAACTCCTATCCCATTGTACAGCACTATGGAGTCTGATGGTGCCATATAAATAATAAAATAATAATCATAATAATCACAGGAAATCAATACAGTTTTGTTTATTTCACTAAACTGATAATGTGCAAAAAACAAAAAAAACAAAAACTGTAGTTTTAAAAGTGGATCACTGTATACAAACTGATTGTCCCCACACCATTCAGAAGGCCCAGAGATGTGCACCAAGTCAGCCAATGTCAGCCATTGCGCACTCACATACATTAGAGCAGTTCAGTTCCCTGGGATCAGTATATTCCCAAATATCACAGACAGTTAAAATAGGTGTGGCACACCAGGGCCGCCATCAGGGGGTGACAACCATACGGTTGTCACGGGCTCGGCAGTCCTGGGGGGCCCGGACTGCTTTGGCAGTCCAGGGCCCCACAATTACTCTCTGCACCTATATATATCGAGGACCACCACCTCTCCGGCTCCCTATACTTGCAGAGGGGGCCCAGCGGACTGCAGCTGTACTTTATAGCATTTCCCTCGCTCTAACTCATGCGAGATGTGCGGCCGTTAGAGCGTTGCCATGGGTTACCATGGCAACTCTCCGTGCGGCGCACACACCACATCTCGTGGGAGTGAGAGTGAGGGAAATGCTGTAAAGTACAGCTGCAGTCCGCTGGGCCCCCTCTGCAAGTATAGGGAGCCGGGGGCCCCACAATGCCACCGGACCACCAGGGATCATGGAATCTCCCCCCTCCCTGAACCAGGTAAGAAACAGGGAGGGGGGAATAACAGTTATTACATTACATGCATTCGCTACTAAACACACACACACACTGCATCCACTGCACTAACACACACTGCATTCATTACACTAACACACACAATGCATTCACTGCACTGACACACACACTGCATTCACTACACTGACACACACTGCATTCATTACACTGACACACACACTGCATTCACTACACTAACACACACACTGCATTCACTACACTGACACACACTCTGCATTCACTACACCGACACACACACTGCATCCATTGCACTAACACGCACACTGCATTCATTACACTGACACACACTGTATCCACTACACTGACACACACTGTATCCACTATACCTACACACAAACTGCATCCACTACACCGACACACAAACTGCATCCACTACACTGACACAAACACTGCATTCACTACAGTGACACACACACCGCATTCATTACACTAACACACACACTGCATCCACTATACTGACACACACACTGCATCCACTATACTGACACACACTCTGCATCCACTATACTGACACACATTCTGCATTCATTACACTGACACACACACTGCATTCATTACACTAACACACATTGCATTAATTGGGGGGAGGGGGGCAGACCTTGTGCTTTGTCAGGGGCCCCAAAATTTCTGGTGGCGGACCTGTGGCACACACACAGCTATCAGCCTCAGAGAGATCAACAAGTAATTTAAATTATAACAGGAGAGATTATCAGTCCCAGACTGTACACACAGAGTGCAGGAGATCTAGCTAATTAACCCAGGGCATTGCAGTAAATATTACAAAGTATCATCAAGTATCAGCTCAGACATGGTCAGACTTCTCACCTGGGAGACACAGCAGAGCCAGGATCCAAGTGAGCTGGGCAGCCCAGGGATACATTGTAACTGTGAGCCTTTCTCCTTCCGATCCATCCAGACACATTAATCCGTCCCGGGTGCAGTTACCCAGTATGGGCATCAGCTATCGCCCAGGCCCAGCAATAACAACATTCTTACCCAGGAAGGACGTGCTGAACCCCTTATCTATCACAAGGGGGGCGGGGGCAGGGACCGGCGTGAGCCTGACTTCACAAGAGAAAATTAGTTTCGGTTTCCTCTATGTGATATTTCCCAGAAATTAGGGGCATTGCTAATAAGAGCCGAGATATGACTTAGTATATCAGCCTATGCAGGGATTAACATCGGCCCCTAATGGGGCTCAGTCAGACATTAACAAAGCTTGAGGTGCCATTCAATGTGTCTGTATATTGCAGCCATGCTCCTCTGAAAGGGTTAATGAAATGATACTTATATGAATGATCAGCAAGGTCACGCTGAACAATCTGGAAGTGAACTGGAAAGATAACTCTCATTAAAAAAAAGTCAGCACTGACTCCCATCACTCCCATCCATTATATAGCCAAATTAGCAATAAATACAATGTATTAATCAGCACTAAAGGATATTTAGATTTGTTCAC